GAATTTCGGAAGATGGGACTTCTGATGGCCTTGCCGATGCCTAATGCTATCATTTGAATGAATTTTATGTTTTTCTTGTTCTGTGAATTACGAGCAAAGATGTAAGTGGTAATTTACTTCCTCGTGGGCACCGTTCGCATACAGTCGTGTTTTCCTGTTGTTGGTGAAGCAAACGGCGTGCTTAAAGAAATTTTGCTTCCTCGTATACTCGCGACAACGCATTGCACACTTGTAACTAAATGAATTGAATTACAGTAACATTAGCCGGTACGAAAGATGGAATATCGAACAGTACTGTTTGTGCTAAGTTTTATGCTGAAGACAGGGCAGACCTCGAGCAGTTCACTGACAAATGTATGCATCGCCCGGACCTCATCACTCATCATGTCTACTTGTGATGGATGCATCCAAGCTGCTGGCTTCCCACAACAAATTGGTTATTTTTTTTTCTCACCCAATAATGTGGTTCGTAATGGTTCACAAGCGGATTATTAGTAGCGTGTGCGGGAAATGGGTAAAAATAGAATAAATTGCCTACGCGCATATGTATTAAAGTGGAGAAAAAAATCCGGAAAACCGAATAGATTAGAATAACTTTTGGCCAAAGGTATAAAAAGAGTTTTAAAACAAAAATAATTTTTTACCAAAGGAATAGGAAAACTAAGCTAAGGGGAGTCAATTATTTGTGGTGTGCAAGAGTGTCTTAAAGAGAGAAATTTTTTTCTCATGCTGCAGTAAGGGTATTACCTTTTATGAGTTTTGCTGATTTTGGAGAATGCACCATATTTTTTTTCAACCTTGCCATGTTTTTCAACTATCTCATTTTATTCACTGTGATGTAGGTAGTTTCGTTCTTCACTATTACGTTTGATGTAAATCAAGTTCATTCAAAATAAAATGAAATTTTCGCCTTGCTTCTTTACGCATTACCAAAAAAAACAGTTTATTCACCGCCCGCTTATTAATACTGTCGTTCTTCATGCAGTACCGTACACGCTATTGAAAATCTCTCCACCCTTTTCACATCATTCAAGTTCTAG